GAGGACTTATCACCAAGGACTGTGTGATTCCCCGCCTCCCTGTAGCACAACTGAATACTAAACACTATTGTATGGAAAGATGAAAGGTGCCAATTAACGAAAACCAATATTGTGTCACTGAAACACACAAGTCCCTCTATCACTTCATGTAGGAGACAAATCAGAGGGGAAATGAATGTAAAAAAAAAATAAAACAGTATAGTCATCTATTAAAACACAACTAAAACACACATCACTTACCTACGTAACCAATAAACCAGTGAGCATGGTTAGGCTTGCCTCCAATTATCCCTACAGACTGTTTTAATGTAAAACATTTCTGGGGAACAACATTGCCAATTAAGAGAATAAGTGCAGGTCAAAGTCAGTAACAACATTTCAATTATTCCTTCCTTCCATAACCTCCACCCCCCACCCAGCTGCTGCTTGAATGTTTGACACCCTGAGATGGCAGAAGAACATGAAAATGACACTCTTCGACAGCCGAGTGCCAGGAGCTTGCATGCTGGCCCAAGGGTCTTGAGTTCAAATCCACACAGAGGCAGATTTATCATTTGCCTTAGCTCCAAGGTCTTGCTGACACTGTCTGTCTTTCAAGGAGATAGTTTTACACTGTGCCATCAAGAGACGGCTAGCAAGGCTAGATTGCATTCAGAAGAATCCTAGGTATACCCAGCCTCAAATGGGTACCAGGAAATGCTCTGGAAAGTTGAATGTTGAATTAGGAATCAAAACCATAGCACTCAGAACACTCTCATAAGCGCTCCATCCCATCTTCAGCAGCAAACGAAGAGTTCCAACTCCGATGGTACCAGTAACTATGTACATCTGTCTTGTCATTCCCTTGAGCGCTGAGCCCCGGCCAGATCCCCTGGTAACTCCTCACAGCGCCATTCTCCTCAGACCGTAATGATCTATTTGTGCGTCCGCACTGTTCACTCACTCCCAAAGGGCCATCATAACATCTAGCGTGTCATACATCAATTCACCACCAAGTGGTGCAGAACCAGACAGTCTATCTGCCTGCTCATTTCCCAAAACACTAGTATGACCTGAAGAAAATAATATGTTTTGGAAACGTGGGTGAGCCAGTGGATGTTGACCACATCATCTATCTAGTACCAATTTGTCTATCCAAAAAAATATTATTTCTAGTAGCATGTGGCCATGAAGAAAACCCTTTACTTTTTTTTTCTTACTCACTCTTTGTATTCCTTGTATCCCTTGTATTCCTTGTATTCCTTGTATCCCTTGTATCCCTTGTATTCCTTGTATCCCTTGTATCCCTTGTATTCCTTGTATCCCTTGTATTCCTTGTATCCCTTGTATTCCTTGTATTCCTTGTATCCCTTGTATTCCTTGTATCCCTTGTATTCCTTGTATCCCTTGTATTCCTTGTATCCCTGCAGCATGCTTGCAGTTTCTTGACAATGGGTCAGGACTGCTAAGGGTGGACAGCTCAGCAGCTATGGGATCATCAACAACAATAGCAAGGCTGGGCTGATACTACAACAGCGACTGTCCACTGACAGGGAATCAACCCAGAGTAACGTGTGGTGGTAGCAAGAGTAACAGCAGTGGTACGATAGGGTCACTGCGCTGATGGGCCATGGCAGTGTTGCGCAATCTTGCGCAAACTCCCCCAAACAAGCAAAGTGCCTGACATTGGGTAAACATGAACGAACGAACGAACAAACTTTATTTTCAAAGGGTTACAAACACTGGGCTAGGAGCACTTTATTAGTAGGCTAGAATCACTGTGTGTATATTTTAATACATATTTTGACAGACTATATATATATATATATATATATATATATATATATATATATATATATATACAAGGTCCAACAATTAAGTAATGAGACTGATTTTATTATGGCCAAGACAAAAATGTCATCTATGAAGCAAAGCATTCAACATTCATTTATGATCTGGCAACTTTTCATAGCTGCTCGATAAGCAGACAACTAACAGGCCGCCATCATACTGCGAGGCATCATGGCAGATGAATCAGGTGGAAGAGAGACCATTCATAATATTCTAGTGCAAGATTCAGAAAAAGGGCAAGAAAAAAGTTGCTTGCTCGGTTTGTACCACAAAAGTTAGTTTTGTTTTACTGCTGATGACCAAAAACCATTCATAATATTTAGTGGGTTGAGTACCCAAGAGACATCATCAAAACAAGAATTTTTGGCCCCAAAATAATTGTGTGTTCTCAGCCTTCCACCCTATTCCCCAGATTTGTCACCCTGTGATTATTTTCTATTCCCAAAATCAAAGTTACGATTGAAAGGACGCTTCTTTAATGATACTGATGACATCCAAAGGGCCGTAACATTGACTTTAAGGGCCATAACAATGGAAGAACTACAGAGGTCGTTCCAGTGTTTGTTAAATCGTGCCACTTGCTGTATCAATGCACAAAGGGCTTACTTTGAATCAGATACAGGTTATATCTTCAACTGTTGATTATTTTAATGTTAATGGAATCAGTCTCATTACTTAATTGTTGGACCTTGTATATATACATATATATAAAATTATTATTAAAGCACATGCAGGACCTGGGAGCTGCCATGGTGTAGCAGCTAGATACTTGACTGTAGATCTGAAGGTCATGGGTTCCAATCTGAATTGTATTTCATTTTGTCTTCAAAAATGACCTTGGCTCCCAGGTGGACCCAGTCTTAACTGAGTATATGGATGGGTCTTAGGAAGTTAAGGCGGCCGACCACATCACAACAAACCAAGTGCCGACTGGTCTTTAAAAATACAGGCCTAGCCCTATATGCCCAATACACATGAGGGTATGTAAAAGGGTCCTTTTTACATGAGAGCCCTGGACAAAAATAATAGACAAGACTGAATGGATGAACACTGTGCACATGTTACACTTTATTACAGACAAAATAAATGTAGAGATGAACCCTGTAGGAGAAAATGAAGAATGAGACAGAGGAAAAAGACACACTGAATTACCTTTAATGATTCAAAATAGATTGGGTTGATGTCGGTGAGGCCAAGTCGTAAAGGAATTATTAACAAAAGAGGCTTCCACGTTGAAGGAACCTCTTGCCGCTGCGGACTGGCAGTTCTTTGGCGCTGGTGTCCTGAGCTGGGGTTTTTTGGGGGGTCATTGACGAATTCTGAGAAAGACTCCCCCTCAGGAAGGACCGGTGTGTCGCCGTTGGCTTGTGATGGTTTGGGTCTTGCTGGAACTGGAGACTTGCATAATGTATCTGGACCAGATATGTCAGTGTATCACCGTAGTGAGCATGCCTTCAGTGTGTGTCATAGATAGAAGCAGTGAGCACTTAGTGTAGACACAGATACAGGCAGAGAGAACTGACAGATAATGTAGATTTGTGTACAGATTTTGTGTACAACTGTGATTGTCTATGTCCAACTTCTCTGATCAGTTTACTGTTTTCATTTGCCTGACTGCCTTATTGATCTTTATGTCTGTCATATGATATTTTTGTATGTGTCTCAGAAATCACAACCCCCTCTGTGTCAGCTTGTCTGTCTACTGGCCTCTGCTTCACATCCATAAACGACAGTTTCGTTAAAGAACTTTACATATGTCCACTTTGCACTAACAGACAGACACTAGAACAATCTGTAACACACATATGTTAACTCATTTCCTCTTTCTTCTTGTGTGTAGGCCCTTACAAGTTGGTTAGCATGTTGCATTGCGATTTACAGCTAGGCAAAAAAATCTGTGCCTTTCTGCCAAACATATCCTATTTGGTAAAATTCCTAATAATCATATTTTATGACAAGGGTGGCCAAGGCGCAGATCACAGTCGACCAGTCGATCGGCAAGACGTCGTAAGTAGATGGGGGGGGGGGGGGGGGGGGGGGTAGGCAGTTATGTCTACAATTGACCTCTAATGGACTGGGTAGGCAGTTATGTCCACAAGTGACCTCTATTTTTTTTTTTTTTAACGTATCCAGAAACCATGAGTTGTAAACCCTTTGGCTCGGTACTATGGATATCGCAACCCTTCGACCTTGATTCCATTATAGGTACCGTTAATCTGGGAGAAATGTGGCTTTTCTGCCTACCCCCGGACCACAAGGAGTGAACCCGGACCACAAGGAGTGAACCCGGACCACAAGGAGTTCGTCACCCGGCCGCCGCGAAAGTCAGGTTTAACCAACTTCGCTAGAGAGCCTGGCCAGTGTGTGACCTCTAATAGACTGGGTAGGCAGTTATGTCCACAAATGACCTCTAATAGACTGGGTAGGCAGTTATGTCCACAATTGACCTCTAATAGACTGGGTAGGCAGTTATGTCTACAAATGACCTCTAATGGACTGGGTAGGCAGTTATGTCCACAATTGACCTCTAATGGACTGGGTAGGCAGTTATGTCCACAAATGACCTCTAATGGACTGGGTAGGCAGTTACCCACCAAGTTATTCAGTTGTAGAACAAGTGTTAACTATGGCTTAGTAGCAAATCTTCTGGAACATTCTAGAATGCATATCTGTTGACAACAGTGATGCTGCTCATAGCTTTGCCTTGGTAAGGCTGTGATATAAATGCTGCCAGCAAGTGATGTTTAGACTAGTGATCTCTTTTTTTTTTTTCTCGCAACATGGGGCCCCAAAACCCCACTGTATGACTCAACATATTTAAATATCATACAAAGAAAGATACTATTTTGGCCATTTTAAGCGCCGTGGCAGGCTGGACAAAATTATAGCAGAAGGCATGGTACCAGAAAGAAGGGGCAGGAGCCAACCAGCACAAAGATGGGCCAAGAATATGAGTGATGAAAGTTTATGAGGCGGAAGAGCTGGCGAGAGACCGAGTTTCTTTGAGGCAGACCGTGATGAAAGACGTTCTGCAAAGAACCTGCTATAAGATGATGATAACACGGAAAGATACCAACACCTTTAAACACTACACAAACACATGTACAGTAACACTAAAAACTACCTAGACACACATGCACAAACACTAACATATAACAACATATACTTACAGATATCATCAAGTATGACCACATTATCTAACGCTATATGAATAGCAATGCCACTCCAGTCATCATACACAGCTATACGCCTATTCAAATCAAACACAAATGTATGTACATTTCACAGACAGCTATACACCTATTCAAATCAAACACATATGTATGTACATTTCATAGACAGCTATACGCCTATTCAAATCAAACACAAATGTATGTACATTTCATAGACAGCTATACGCCTATTCAAATCAAACACAAATGTATGTACATTTCATAGACAGCTATAAGCCTTTTCAAATCAAACACAAATGTATGTACATTTCATAGACAGCTATACGCCTATTCAAATCAAACACAAATGTATGCACATTTCATAGACAGCTATACGCCTATTCAAATCAAACACAAATGTATGCACATTTCATAGACAGCTATAAGCCTATTCAAATCAAACACAAATGTATGTACATTTCATAGACAGCTATACGCCTATTCAAATCAAACACAAATGTATGTACATTTCATACACAGCTATACACCTATTCAAATCAAACACATATGTATGTACATTTCATAGACAGCTATACGCCTATTCAAATCAAACACAAATGTATGTACATTATTTTTATTATTATGTTTAATGACAACTGATATTTAAAAAAAAAAGAATTTCCTAAGTTCTGTCTTTAAATGTGAATCTATTACTTACTAGGATGAGCTAAAAAAGTATGACCCTGTGGATCTGCATATTTGATATGTAAACAAGTAGTGCAGCTCTATGCTTAGAGGTTGGTGAATGCGTTCAACAATTTTTAAACACATTCTCATGGTTCTGAGACAGTGAAAAATAGGTAGGTAGACGAATGGGCAACTGAACAGTTGAAAGACAGGTCACTGCATAGGGTGATGCAATCTGATACATGAACTAATTTGTGGGTTTGAGAATGAACATACACACACACACGCAAAATGAAGAAACAAAGAAAACAGATATACACACAACAAAATGAGAGAGTAGTAGAGTACTGTTGACACACAAGCAGATACCTCGGAGTACTAAAGTGAATCTTATTAGAACTATTTTTTGGCCAACACTATGCTATCAATGCCAAACGTGGATACTTACATCCTCCAGTGAACGTAAAATCGTGACAACAGAGATGAAATGCCTTAGAAGAGCTGCAGGAGTTTCAAGGAAAGACAGAATATGAAATCATGAAATCAGAAGAATGCTAGGAATAAAGCCAGCCTTACAGGTCATCAAAGAACAACAAATGAAGTGGTTTGGACACCTAACAAGAATGCCCTGGTACTATCCGCCACAGGGAGCCACACTAAAATGTTACAACGGGTATAGAGTGAGTGGAAGACCTAGGAAAATATGGAGTGATGGCATTAAGAACAGCCTTACAGAAATGAACATCAATCTGAATAGTGCTCTTGACAGAGATCATAAACGAACATTAAAGCTCCCCCCGACACTTCGATGAGCTAAAAGGTTGAAGAGAAGAAGAGAAGTATAGTAAAGACAACATCACATCACACAATAAAAAAGAGAGAATAGTAAAAACAATAGAACACACAAAGTAAAGAGAGAAAACAGCAAAAAAAATAAGAGAACATACAACAAAAAGAGAGTAGTTAATCAAAATAAAAAAATAAGAAAAGGGAAATAGTAAAGACAAAACATAACAAAAAGAAAACCGTAGCGAGAAAACACAATACATAACACAAAAAGATAACAGTAAAGACAAAACAACAACCACAAACTTACTTTAAGACCTGAGCTATTGTGTTGGGTCCGAACCATTGACCCACAGCTTTACCCTCCGCCTCTCCCATTGAAGCTAGCAAAACAAAATAAACACACACAAAAGAAAACACTAAATGCTAAATAAAGCATATAAATGTGATAAATGAAAAATTCACTCACTGCATATCATTTTATTTACTGTGATGAACTGTATCCACCATCTCATGTACTGTATCCGCTATCTCATGTACTGTGTCAGCCATCTCATGTACTGTGTCAGCCATCTCATGTACTGTGTCCACCATCTCATGTACTGTGTCCACCATCTCATGTACTGTGTCAACCATCTCATTTACTGTGTAAACCATCAGTAACCATAAACTCATTCACCAGCCATTAGCTGTAAACTAATTATATTCTTCTTCTCAGCGTTTACAGGTGGTAAACTCTGGTGGGCATTTCTGGTTATTCATCCCCTACCAAACTCACGGTCCATTTCCAAAACTTTAGTTTTGTGTGCACATCGATTCTGCATATCTGGCTTATTTCACTGCAGACTGTTGGCTCATCATTCTCTCAGGCAGAGGACGCCTTTACTCCGAAGAAAATACCGCCTTTTACAACATGTCTGATGGGGGCACTGGTTTATCCAACCCCCACCCACCCAACTTCCGTCCTTTGACAGAAAAAAAAAATTGGGGCTAAGAGAACCACACTGGAAAAACTGATAACCTGACTTTTACTAAAATAAATGTATTACTACCTTACAGAAAAACCTTACCTATCTGGTGTATAGAGTATGTTGCCATCTTTTTATCTTCGAACATCTTCAGTATCTTCCAGTAGGCATCGTCTGTACAATCTTCGGTCCACCTCCATTCTGAATCAAAACACACACAATACGAACAAATCACACAGGGGTTCAGTAGAGAGAGAATCAGTACGTGATGGAGAATGTGGTCAAAATCCACAGGCTGCTTTCGCTTTCCATTTCATGCAACCCAGGTTTTGCTGGGTATACCTGAGAGCTAAGGTTAACTGTAAGAAATCTGCAGATCTAAACCCAAAACCTTTGGGTCAACAAGCAAGCTTCTAGCCACTGCTCTATCTCGGCCCTCAAGGAGTAAGTAAAAACGTAAAGGATCCTTTGCCCGCCTTCAGGCATACTGGAAATATAAGCCTATATTTTAAAGACCATTCAGCACTTGGTGGATGATGCTGTCAACATAATGCTGACCACCTTTACTTCCCAGGACTTTACCTCATACCTCTTTAAGGCTGGGGTCAACCTGCGAGCCAAGGTCACTGTTTGGGGGGAAAAATTCTGGCATCTTTCAGATCTGAATCCATGACCTTCAGATCGGCAGACAAGAATCTAGCTGTTACAACATGGCATTCCCAAAAAGTGAGTGTTATTCTCATAAACTGGGTACACGCTTCTTGTTATTATTCTATCTTGGCTCTCAAAAAGTGTTATCCTCATAAACTGGGTACAAGAGCCACTGTTCAATTAAGGCTCTCAAAAAGTGTTATCTTAACAAACTGGGTAAAAGCTTCTGGTCACTGTCCTATCGTGGCTCTTATAAAGTGTTATCCTCATAAACAGGGTACAATCTTCTAACCATTGCTCTATCTTGGCTTTCAAAAAAGTGTGTTATCCTCGTAGTCAGGGTACAAGATTCTAACAATTGCTCTATCTTGACTCTGAAAAAGTGTGTTATCCTCGTAAACAGGGTACAAGCGTCTAACCACTGTGCTGTAATATTAATGCAAGCAGAGTCAGCAGAAGACAGGGGAAGAGGATGACAGACAGTCCGGCAAAGTCAAGTGAACCAATGATATCAGACAGAATATGGACTGGTAAATATCACTAGGGGGAAATAATCACAATGCCATTTGTAAAAAGACCTGAATAAAAAAAAAAGCAATAGATACACAGCTATAGTAAATAGTGTTAAGTTAGCTGTGTATCCTTTATAGGATGTTACAGAACCAGCATTTTTTGGCTGTTGTGGATTTTCTAGGCAAATTATATGTTCAGCAGTTTCCTATTGCCTCTGAACGATCGGCTTTTGGTACTACTGTCGAAACCAATGCAAGACAAATCATCCGCAGTCGGGACTAAACCTGACACTCTCTGCACCGCGAAGCGTATTCGCAACGCCTAAGCCAAAGACGCCAAAAGTGTACTCAGTCTTTTTCCGTGTATAAGACGATATCTAAAGCGGCCACTTTTTTTTTTTTTAGCCCTTAGAGAAATAAATATTTTAAACACATTGCCTGAATAAGATGACCCTCATTTTCAAACTTAAAAAATATGAGAAAACATGACTTATACAAGGAAAAATACTGTAATTATCCTAGGAATAGGAGATGCGACCTGAAAATTTAAAAGTCACAGAAACAAGATCTTGAGATCTGAACCCTGGACTATCAGCTCAACAGGAACGTACACTCACCACTATGCTACCATGACTCTGCACTTCTTTAAAAAAAACTGAGTCGTGTGGGCTCTGGGACCCCATGTGGGGGGGGGGGGGGGGGGGGGGGGGTTGAATAGATGAACCCATTACTCCCAAAAACCATGTCATAAAAGGCAACAAATAAGCTTACTTAGAGTAGAAGTGTTGGGTCAAAAGGTGCAGATATTGTAGCCTAGCTGTAAACCATAAAATAACAAACAAACCACACTTTCAAGGGTGAATGCAGAAGAAAAAGATGAAGAAAATTCAAACTTGCTTCTTCCTAGGTGTCGAAGTATCAATGCCTGTGCCAGCATCATTTGCCCACACCGGAGCATGCAGCCCCAGCCTTGGTCTGAGCTTGGTCCTGTGCCACCTGGCAAATGACACAAACACAGTTACATGTCCCAAAAAGTGACCAGGAAAGTTGCAAAGGACACAATTACATTGAAATGAAACAAAAACATAACTACGCAAGTTATGAAGGACGTGAAAAATCATATTTATATATAATAAAAAGTAAAAAGAAACTGTTGCAAAGGACAAGAACACGTACATTTATGTGTGGCAAAGGGTAACTAGGAAATGAGCATGTTATTATGTCACTATATCATGTGGAAAAAAAACAGTCTTTGTAAAACTCTGCTCAACAACATACTAGAAAGACATTCATTTCTCCACAAGTTATCTTTAACCTTGAAAAACAATTTTTTTTTAAACAACAATATTCTAAGAATGTTTCTGCAACATCTAATTTCTTTGCTTTTGCTTATTCTTCTGCACACATGATGTAGAGGTAACTGACTCGCAGGGCACGCTGAGAAAGATGGAGACAGGTATGCTCCGTGCTGGGTAGCAAGTATCGTTTTAGAAGTTCCAGGTAGTTAGCGTCCTTTGGATATTTTCTCCAGATGATGCCAGTGTTCTGAGAAATGAACAGGCAGATAAACTGGCTGGTTCTGCAACACTTGGTGGTATACTGATGACATGATAAGCCAGATGTTGTAAGGGCCTCGTGGGAGTGTGTGAACAGTGCAGATGCACAAATAAATTGTTACTGTCTGAGGAGAACAGAGCCAGAAGGAATGACCAGGGTATCTGTCCAACACTCCACACTCAGGGAAAAGGTGATACGACTGCTACTGGTACCACCAGGGTTGGAACTGTATTTGCTGCTGAAGATAAGAGCCGAGTGCTTATGGGAATGTTGAAGTGATGATGTTGATTCTTGATTCAACATTCGACACCCTTAAAAAGGCACGCTGTAATGTGGTTTACAGCTAGGCTGTGATATCTACATCTTTCAGCCCAACACAGCAAAACCTAAAGTAATCACCTTTTATGACATGCCTGTTAGTGGGGTTATTCTACTATTCCCTAAAATATGGAGCCCTGGAGATGATATGGTTACCAAAATTTATAAGCCTTGAATTTCTGTTTGAGTGTTTGTGATATATACCAATGTCACTTGCATATATTTATTATTTTTCTTTTCATACGACAGGAAGCTGCTGTAGCACTCATGCTAGTACGCTAGTCTGCTGGTTGGCTGTTTATAAATTTAGATTTTATTTTAAAATATTTTTTTTAATATCGTTTATGGAGGGGGAGGTGGTCCAAGTGACAAGAAGGGACAAAGTCCGCAATCAGACAATAAGTCAAGATCTTGATACCCAGTCCTTAAAAACCCTAATGCATCAGTCACAGTTACGATGGTTTGGACATGTATGCAGAATGGGAGAAAATCGGCCACCATGGCAGGCAAGGGAGGCTAAGAACCAGGAAACCAGACCTCCAGGAAGGACGACCCAGGGTTCGCTGGGAAGACAACATCCGACAGTCCCTAACTGACAGAGGACTGGAATGGAACAAAGCCAGAAAGAAAACTGCGGATAGAGACGTCTGGCGATCTCTCTGGCAAACCTCTACACCCCAAGTTAGAAGAGGAGCGACTAAGTAAGTAAGTAAGTTATGGAGGGGGGTTTCCTCCACTAAAGCGGACAAGCCATTTGCCTGCTTTCTGAATGACATGAGTTAGTTTGAAGTAAGAGTGCAACTACTGAGATCCTAGTTGAATTATTAAAATTGAGTGCGTGCCCCTGTGGGATGCAATTTTTCATTATTTTAAGTCCCACCCTAGCTTCTGCCGGGGCCCCTGAATATAGCTAGCCTACAAATATGACCATAACGGCTAAAGGGTTTTCTAGGAACTCTCCATAGGTGGTCCTCATCCATGTGGTGGCACTTTGTGTCACCAGGTGTTTGTCGCTTATGTAATGTCCTGGTTGGGTACAACAAGCAAGCAATGCTGAATTAGGAATCAACAACAAAGCCCTCGGGATATTCCCATAAGCGCTCCGTGCCAGCTACAGCAGCACGCGCAGAGTTCCATTTCCGATGGCACCAGTAACTGGTTGTATAAATGTCTCGAATTCCCAGGTCTTCTCATAAAAGACATATCAAACATAACATTTTTCATGAAGAAGACAAACAGAATCCCCATATTATGTGCTACAAGGGACAGAGTTAAGAAATCGTATAGAACACAAATGAAGACTAATTTATTCTTACCGATATTCTGGAAATTTTTTCTGTAGGTGAGCCATATCCGAGATCGGATATCATCTTTCAGTTCTTCCCTGTCTGTAAGAACAATTGTAAATGGCCAATAATTCCAATGACAGCTTCAACAGTAAACTTCAAATAAGAAACAAACTGCAGCTGCTACCAAATCATCACACAAAAAACTTCACTATAAGCTCTCATTCTCAGCTCCCATATCTTCACCTTAAGCTCTCATTCTCAGCTTTCATAACCTCACCTTAAGCTCTCATTCTCAGCTTCCATAACTTCACCTTGAGCTCTCATTCTCAGCTTCCATAACTTCACCTTGAGCTCTCATTCTCAGCTTCCATAACTTCACCTTTAGCTCTCATTCTCAGCTTCCATAACTTCACCTTGAGCTCTCATTCTCAGCTTCCATAACTTCACCTTGAGCTCTCATTCTCAGCTTCGATAACTTCATGTTAAGCTCTCATTCTCAGCTGCCATAACTTTACCTTAAGCTCTCATTCTCCACGTCCATAACAAATAAATCCAGATACAGATTAGCAGTCCAGAGAAAATATGCATATCATAACAGGTGGCTGAAGACAGTTCAGACTGACTACCACATCTTGTTGAAAGTCTTAGCTGCAAATTCCACTCAGTTAGTTAACAATTAGCTGTAGTGTGAGTTTTCTGAGGGACTTGACTTCTTTGAAAGATGAAAAGTAGAAAAAAGTCTGGATACAGGGGTCAAAAATTAGAACAATAAAAAAGCTGACTGCTTCTACAACATCATCATCAGGGTGGGTCAGCCTCTAAGTCACACAAATGATCTTCCCATGTGGGCTCTGGGGTCCTATCTGGAATACTGGGGGCTGTACAGACCCACTGCTCCATCACAAGCATGAATTAAGAGGTGACTAATTAAGGAACTGCTTGCCACCAAAATGTGCTGATGTCACAGCCTAGCTTCAACCCCCAATTCAACAAACCAACCACCATTTATAAAAGTGGACACAGAAAAGGAGAATTTAACTTAATGTATTAAAAAGACTAATTTTCTTGGAACTTTACCGAAACAATCTATAGATTTTACTGTACTGCCTTACCATGCAATGCACTGTATACCTCACCCAGAATGAACACTGGTTCTTCTGTGAGAGGAAAGTCTTCATATTCAAAGGGTCCACTCTCATAGGTACTTGAATAAAGATTCACTGTCGAAGAACAAGATACAATTAATTTAAGATATGGATGCTGCTGGCGGAGTGGCCCATCATTCACCTCCTGCCATGAAAGTTTGGGCCTAACCAGTTTAGCCCCCCATAAAGTTAGTACTCCTAACCAATTTATTACAAGAAAGAGAAGACATTGTTGATAGAAATAAAGTGGTTCTAGTCATTCCCATATCAGGTTGCTTGGTAGTGATCTAGTCAATCTCTCAGCCACAGAGAGACACCTTTATATCATCAAAATACAATACAATTTGGTCATCTCAATTATGCATTTATAAGAAAGTCACAGCTGTTACATAATTATCATAAAGCACTTTGGTGCTGACCAAATGAAGACAAAAGATAACAGCTGATCAAGTGAAGACAAAAGATAACAGCTGACCAAATGAAGACAAAAGATAACAGCTGATCAAGTGAAGACAAAAGATAACAGCTGACCAAATGAAGACAAAAGATAACAGCTGATCAAGTGAAGACAAAAGATAACAGCTGATCAAGTGAAGACAAAAGATAACAGCTGATCAAGTGAAGACAAAAGATAACAGCTGATCAAGTGAAGACAAAAAGGATAACAGCTGATACCATGAAGACAGACAAAAGATAACAGCCTGATCAAGTGAAGACAAAAAGATAACAGCTGATCAAGTGAAGACAAAAGATAACAGCTGATCAAGTGAAGACAAAAGATAACAGCTGATCAAGTGAAGACAAAAGATAACAGCTGATCAAGTGAAGACAAAAGATAACAGCTGATCAAGTGAAGACAAAAGATAACAGCTGATCAAGTGAAGACAAAAGATAACAGCTGATCAAGTGAAGACAAAAGATAACAGCTGATCAAGTGAAGACAAAAGATAACAGCTGATCACAAGACAAAAGATAACAGCTGATGAAGTGAAGACAAAAGATAACAGCTGATCAAGTGAAGACAAAAGATAACAGCTGATCAAGTGAAGACAAAGATAACAGCTGATCAAGTGAAGACAAAAGATAACACTGATGAAAGTGAAAGACAAAAGATAACAGCTGATCAAGTGAAGACAAAAGATAACAGCTGATCAAGTGAAGACAAAAGTAACAGCTGATCAAGTGAAGACAAAAGATAACAGATCAAGTGAAGACAAAAGATAACAGCTGATCAAGTGAAGACAAAAGATAAACAGCTGATCAAGTGAAGACAAAAGATAACAGCTGATAAGTGAAGACAAAAGATAACAGCTGATTCAAGTGATGATCAAGTGAAGACAAAAGATAACAGCTGATCAAGTGAAGACAAAAGATAACAGCTGATCAAGTGAAGACAAAAGATAACAGCTGATCAAGTGAAGACAAAAGATAACAGCTGATCAATGAAGACAAAAGATAACAGCTGATCAAGTGAAGACAAAAGATAAACAGCTGATCAAGTGAAGACAAAAGATAACACATCAGCTGTGAAGACAAAAGATAACAGCTGATCAAGTGAAGACAAAAGATGCTGATCAAGTGAAGACAAAACGATAACAGCTGATCAAGTGAAGACAAAAGATAACAGCTGATCAATGAAGACAAAAGATCAAGTGAAGACAAAAGATAACAGCTGATCAAGTGAAGACAAAAGATAACAGCTGATCAAGTGAAGACAAAAGAAACAGCTGATCAAGTGAAGACAAAATATAACAGCTGATCAAGTGAAGACAAAAGCTTTCAAGTACTTCCTTTGGAAAAAGATGTGTGACACAAATGAAGACAATGCTGATATAACTGATCAAGTGACAAAAGATAACAGCTTCTATGAGTTTTTACTTCCAGGGATTGTGTGCACAGAGTGCATATCTTTTGAGTTTCTATGAGTTAACAGATTACAGGATTAAATATACTGGCACCATTAGTATTCAAACTCTTTGCTGGCTGCTGAAGATGGGGATGGAGCGCTTATGGGAATACCCCGAGTGCTGTGATGTTGATCCTTGAATCAAATCAGGATTTAAATAAGCTGAAATAACTAGGGAATGACGGTGGATTATTGCAATGGAAGAATGGAATACAAGAAGTAAAGAAACACGATGTATGGAGTAATCAATGAATGTATTATCAGTTGCTGGTTTTCATTATCAATCAGCATGGCCCTTACAGGACGTCTCCCTCCTCACGGTACACTTGAATTCTCTTTCTCTAGCCACTTCTGGAAACATATGTGCTTTCATAGCTAATGCATCTTGAATATCTTCTATCCACCTTCATGGGAGGTCTGCCCTTGCCTCATTTCCCACAAACTGTACCCTCCAACACCGTTCTCTCCTTGCAACCATGTTGTTTAACATGGCCAAAATATGTTATCTTTCAGGACAGGATGCTGTTTATGAGCCAATTCTCCCCTATGTTCAGATCACGTAGGATGTTGGTGTTTTTCTTCTTCTTGGTACATGGAATTCTAAAAATCGTTCTGCAGCATTTCAGCTCAAACACTCAAACTTTTTTTCTCCAGTGACTGAGTAAGAGTTGCTGGTAGTGAAAGAAATAATCATCCGTAAGACAACTAGCTCACTGGCCTTCGGTTACATGTACATAAGTGAAAGTCTAGGACCATTTTACACATCCTGAAATATACTGGGTATATGTGCTGGTCCTATAGTTTATGGAGCAATCGACACTTGAGTGATGTGGTCACATGATCGCCTTTACTTCCATGAATACTTCACATAGACTAGGCTGACTTGGAAGCTTACACATTTACTTATGTTACTTCTGATTATATGTCTATTATTGCTTATTGCAGGTTAGCTTGCTTTCAGCAACTTGACTATCAGCAGCGAGTCATATGTAGGAACAGGTCATATCCTCAGACATGATAAGATGAACTGTATAATGAACCTGGTATTAAGTAAAGGGCACTCATTTCTGTATAATCTATAGTCACATTTTTGTCTTAGGATGGTTAGTTTTTAAGACACAATTTTTTTAAGTTGATAGGGATCAGATATGATATCCTAGAAACTATGACTACAACCAGAGGGTGGTTAGTAAATGATCCTTTTACACACCAGTGACGCATCAGGTATATGAAGGGTAGTTAGTAATAGTATTTTATACGCAAGAGAATGAGCAAGCTGATAGGCTTGCAGGTAAAGCAGGCTGATATACTAAATACTCCAAGGGAAGTAAGATGTATGTGAGAACCAAGTGATGACTGCGAATTTGAAGCCATGACCAGAATGCAAGAAACACATGTTAAAAGAGGTGTGGCCAGACAAGAGCACTATGCAGGAAGCCAAAGAAGACTAGGAAACTAACCAAGACAGAACAGGGGTCGTCAGCGGCTATACTTTGTGGGATTTACTGAGAAGGGGATCCGAGTTCTTATGGATTAAGAGATCGATGTGAAATAAGGACAATATGCAGACTAACTAAGACGATTTCTAGGGCACTCCTTCGAATGGTGACCATAGGGGGAACAATCTACTGTAACTTAACATTACTGTAACTATCGACCGTAGTGGGGGTAATTCATTCCGTGTATAGGTTCATATCATCATAATAAACAAATGTCACATTTAATTTTTAATTGTTTTAGATTAGGGTCAGGGTTTGGTGTTTGTTAGACTGTTAGGGTTAACTTACTTAAAGTCGAAGGAGTGCTGATTTCTGCTTAAGGAAACTCGGAGTACTTTGTTTGTACGTCAAAAGGGCAGTGATGTTATGTAAAAACTGTGTTATTCTGAACAATAGTATACAACTACTACTAACTTACTTTACTAAATCACATTTAAACTATAGATTTGTTAACTTTCTTCCTCCTTCATGCAAAAGTGCATAATCTATTTTTAAAACCAAATGCTATATTATTAATTCAAGAAAAAGTGAACAGCATTCATAAATATC